TAAACCTTCTCATTGTAAAGTCCCTGTTAACTGTATTTTAAAACAAGTTTAATTTTTTTAAAAAAAGCTAACAATCCAGGCAAACTGTTTTTAATAGAATTTCTAATAGTACTCTGTGGCACACTTCTTTTGGTGTGCCACAGGGCTTAGTACTGCTATCCTTTTTAACATCTACATGAAGTTGTGGGTGAGATCATTCATCACCGTGGGTTGAAGTATCATCAGTATGTGTATGATACCCAACTCTATATTTCCACCCCTGGTGATCCAAATGATGCTTTTACTGCCCTCTTACAGTGCCTGGAGGCTGTTGGAGTCTGGATGTGAGACAACATGCTTTGACTGAATCCTGGCAAGACCAAATGTTCTGGATGGGTAGCACAACCCCAAACAGACCTAATATGCAATTTAGGGGTTCTCCTGGACTTGCAACACCTGATTGATGAGCAGGTGGCAGTTGTGACTAGGAGAGCCTTTGTGCAACTTCATGTTGTGGGTCGGTGGCACCCTTTTCTGGATTGGGATTCTCTGTGCTCAGTCTCTCAACCCTTGATTATCTCATTTTTGGACTATTGAAACACTTTCTACATGAGGCTACCCTTGAAGAGGATCCATAAGCTGCAGCTGGTATAGAACACAGTAATGTGGGCAGTTCTTGAGGCCTTAGGGCAGTGGTTCTCAACCTTCCTAATGCTGCGACCATTTAATACAGTTCCTCATGTTGTGGTGACCCCCAACACCCCATCCAGCTGGCCGGGGGGTATCAAAAACTTGACCAAAAAAAAAGGAAAAAATGGGAAAGTGTAGGTAGTCCTCGACTTACAACATTTCGCTTAGTGACTGTTTGAAGTTACAACAGCACTGAAAAAGCGAATTATGATCATTTTTCACACTTATTGTTGTTGCAGCATCCCCAGGGTCATGTGATTTACATTCGGATGCTTGACAACTGATTCATACTTATGACGTTCACAGTGTCCCAGGGTCATGTGATCAATGGTCAGGGGGCGTGGCCAGCTGATCACTCAGGTTGCAGAGTGCCTGTGGGGGGGAATCTGTGGGTCTCTGGGATGGGACTGGGGTGGGTGCCTGCCTTCCTTCCCTCCCTTCTCTCCCCTTGTCCCTTCCTTCCTTCTTTTCTTCCTTTCCTTCACCTCCCTTAGTCTCTTCCTCCTTCCCTCCCTCTTTCCCATTGTCCCTTCCTTCTTTCCTTCCTTTTCCTTCACCTCCTTCTTAGTCTCTTCCTCCTTCCCTCCCTCTTTCCCATTGTCCCTTCCTTCTTTCCTTCCTTTCCTTCACCTCCTTCTTAGTCTCTTCCTCCTTCCCTCCCTCTTTCCAATTGTCCCTTCCTTCTTTCCTTCCTTTCCTTCACCTCCTTCTTAGTCTCTTCCTCCTTCCCTCCCTCTCTCCCATTGTCCCTTCCTTCCTTCTTTCCTTCCTTTCCTTCACCTCCTTCTTAGTTTCTTCCTCTTTCCCTCCCTCTCTCCCATTGTCCCTTCCTTCCTTCTTTCCTTCCTTTCCTTCCCCTCCNCCTCCCTTAGTGTCTTCCTCCTTCCCTCCGTCTTTCCCATTGTCCCTTCCTTCTTTCCTTCCTTTCCTTCAGCTCCTTCTTAGTCTCTTCCTCCTTCCCTCCCTCTCTCCTATTGTCCCTTCCTTCCTTCTTTCCTTCCTTTCCTTCCCCTCCCTCTTAGTCTCTTCCTCCTTCCCTCCCTCTCTCCCCTTGTCCCTTCCTTCCTTCCCTCATTGTTCCTTACTTCTCTCCCTCTTCGTCCCTTCCTTCCTCCCCCCCTCCGTGCCCAGGAAGGGACAAGGGGAGGGGGATAGGCTACCAGCATGGCTGGGGGCTTTGCTGCCGGCAAACCTGCCTGTGCACAGGAAGAGACAGAGGAGAGCTCTGCCCAGCTCACTTGCTCAGCTTCGCCGGAAGACATGCCGCTTGCTAAGTTAACAGAAGCTCCAGGATCAGCACCGGGCTACAGCTGATTCGCGGTTCTGCTAAATTAGCAAGCGGCATGTTTTCTAGCAAAGCTCAAGCAAGTTTGCTGGGCAGGAGCCAAGGAGAGCAGCTACAGCTGATCTGCGCTTCTGGGCTGCTCTGCAGAAGTGCGGATCAGCTGTAGAGGCTCACCCCGATCCTGGACAAGAGGGAAGGAAGGAAAGGAAGGAAGGAACAAGGGGAGAGAGGGAGGGAAGGAGGGACAAAGAGGGAGGCGAAGGAAAGGAAGGAAGGAAGGGACAATGGGAGAGGGAGGGAAGGAGGAAGAGACCAAGAGGGAGGAAAGGAAAGGAAGTTCCAGCCAGCAGAGGCTTGGCAGCCCGGCTGCCGAGGAACAGAAGAGCGCAAAGCCAAGGAGAAGAAGGTGGCGGTTTCCTCCCAAAGGGGGCTCCTTTTCTCCACCCCTTCCCTGGGTTTGTGGGGAATTTCTCATCACCAATGCTGACAAGTGCTCCTTCGAGCCCGCCGCAAGTTTTCTCGCCCCTTTGCTTCTCCCCCCCGCTTTCGTGAGGATTGTGGCGCCCTTGGGAAGCCGATCGTGCTTTGAAGCTTAGGAGAGGAGGAGGAGTCCCTTCCTCCTTCCCTCCCTCTCTCCCTGTAAAGCCCCGGCGGGTTCGACATGAACGGGCGGAGGAGGAGTCGAGGACGGGCGGGATGGCCAAGGAGACCGGCTGACAAGTGCAAGTTCGGGGGTCGCCAGCTGACGGGCGCAGGAGTTGGGTGTTGCGGCGGCCTCCCCTTCGCTGACCTGCGTGCACGAGAAGAAGTCAATCCGGTTGCTGCACAATGAGTCTCTGGGGAGGGCGGAGCCTTGCTCTGCGCCTGCGCTCTTCATGCGCCCCCTGCAGGGCACATTTGGTAGAGTTCGTGCAGACTGCCGCCAAGCAGCATATTTTCCACAAACAAGTGAGGTGGAGCGGAGGGGGGGAGGGAGACAAGGCGGTTGACAAGCCCTGCCTAAGACCATCGGAAATATGTGTTTTCCTATAGTCTTAGGCGACCCCTGTGAAATGCTCGTGCGACCCCCAAAAGGGTCGCGACCCACAGGTTGAGAACCGCTGCCTTAGGGTGATCCAAGTTACACCACTGTTCCATAAGCTGCACAGGTTGCTAATTTGTTTCTGGATCCAATTCAAGGTATTGGTTATCCCTTCTAAAGCCTTTATGGCATGGATGCAGGTTATCTGAGGAACTGTCTCACCCTGATGGGATTAGCCCGCTCCACGCATGCTGGCAGGAGTGGCATGCTGGCAGGAGTGGCATGCTGCGGATCCTGTCAGTTAAGGAATTTTGGCTGGTGGGGGCCAGAAAAAGAGCCTTTTATGCCATGGCTCCGCCTTCTGGAACATCTCCCTCCCCCTGAGGTGAGACCCACACCCACCTATTTTGACCTTCTGTACTATAACAATGAACAATAGTACAGCTAACATAGTATGTTCTATTCTTGTAAAAAGAATAAAACAATAACAGATTGTGAAGCATCAAATAATGGGAGCTTATAGTACAGATTCATTGCCTACATTTGTAATTTATTAATTTGTAATAATAGAAATAGAAATATATACGAGCTTACATAAAAAAGGCAAACCATTTCTTTATTATTGACCAGAAAGCTACCTGGAAATATTTATATAGTTACCAATAGCTAAGTTTGACTGGAAGGAGACATTATCTTTTTTAAGAGTTTTCAGCATATGAATGGGATAGTAAATTTTTAAAGGCTTGGAGCAGAATCCGAGTGAAAAAATCTGCAACAGACAGTAATTGATTATTAATATCAAAACTGGAAAGAAACTCATCTGAAGCATTTCTGCAATATAACTTTTCTCATAAGAACGATATTTTCTCAATGTATTAATACTAGTTTTTGATGTTTGTCACTTAAGTATAATGAAGACTTTTCAGAAAGTTTTCTCAATACTGAACAAGTTTCAATCTGTTTGCATGATAAAGGCATTCTTCTTCCAAACCCTATTGTCTGTTATAGCAGTAGATAAGAGAATCAATCCGGAAGCAATTATTGGGGACCCCTTTCCTCCTCAGAAATATAGGATTACTTTTCCTTGGCTCTTTTCCATTGAGTGGCAGGAATGGAGACAACTCTAATGGTGCTGTCCACAACCTGACAAATGTGTCATTTTGGTGTTCATCTTCAATGATTTTATAGAATTCTATATGTGCTCATCTGATATACTTTGTAGGATACATTTTAGGTTGTAATCTTAAATCATTAGTTTTACATGACTGAGTAGGAATGCAGTGTTTCCATTAGTTTTTGTATAGGAGCTATACTAACTTTCCCATGAGAATCTTTGTAGAAAAAAAAATGGTGAAGGTGAGTGGAAGATATGAAGCATGTTATTTACACTGTCTTTTTGGCTGTATTGTATAAACCCAGTTCATATCAAAGTTGCATTTAATGGCTATAATGTTTTTAATTTTTTTGATAGAAGAGAAAAACAACTGTTCCCTATTAGGTCCTGTTAGAGAAATATTGGTCCTTGACATTTTTCCATATAAAACCTGCCAGAATGACATGCATTTCTAGTCATTCCCTATGTGCATGAATAGGAGCACATAGAAATGTATATGCTACACCAGAAATCTTGTTTTTAAAAGTAGAAAGTGATGGAAAATTAATGGAGTGCTTGAGAAAACCCTTTTCTCTCACTTTGATAAGAATGCCTGTGTTTTGGAGGCCTGTTAACTTTCTGTTTCTTGTTTAGATTCTTCAAAAGTGGGCATTTTAAAATGACAGTTATGAAAAAATATAATTCTTTAGAGGGTTCACACATTTTTAGACTATACGGGACTAAAATAAGACAAGAATAAATAGTACAATATTTCACAATGTGAAAACTTACTGCTTTGCTTTGCCTGTTTAATGTGCTCATCCAGAGTATAGCAAAAGCCTGAGAATCACTTTTGTGATTAAAACCGTCAAAAGTTTATTTAACTCTCAAATCATTCCCGATTAATTTCTTGTCCCTTCTTTATTTTTCAGGTTGGCCTTCATTCTATGATGTAATCAATTCTGACACAATTACATGTACTGATGACTACTCATTTGGGATGCACAGGGTTGAGACAAGCTGCACTCAGGTCAGTTTAAAAACAACAAAAATGCTATACTGTTAAAGATATTTTTTTTTGTACCAGCTCTATTTTATCCATTCACATAGAAAGACTTGCAAACTCTTAATTACCCAAAAATTAACAATTGTCTGACTAGTCATACGCACGACAGCTGGTAGGTATAAAAAATTAAAGTCTAATGAGAATCTATATTGTTATCTAGGTTAAACTTTATTTAACAGTGTGTACGTACAGTGAGGGAAAAAAGTATTTGATCCCCTGCTGATTTTGTACGTTTGCCCACTGACAAAGTAATGATCAGTATATAACTTTAATGGGAGGTTTATTTTAACAGTGAGAGACAGAATAACAACAACAAAAATCCAGAAAAGCACATTTTAAAAAGTTATAAATTGATTTTCATTTTAATGAGTGAAATAAGTATTTGACCCCTTCGCAAAACATGACTTGGTACTTGGTGGCAAAACCCTTGTTGGCAATCACAGAGGTCAGACATTTCTTGTAGTTGACCACCAGGTTTGCACACATCTCAGGAGGGATTTTGTCCCACTCCTCTTTGCAGATCCTCTCCAAGTCATTAAGGTTTCGAGGCTGATGTTTGGCAGCTCGAACCTTCAGCTCCCTCCACAGATTTTCTATGGGATTAAGACTATGGGAGACTGGCTAGGCCACTTCAGGACTTTAATGTGCTTCTTCTTGAGCCAATCCTTTGTTGCCTTGGCCATGTGTTTTGGGTCATTGCCATGCTGAAATACCCATCCACAACCCATTTTCAATGCCTTCGCTGAGGGAAGGAGGTTCTCGCCCAAGATTTGATGGTACATGGCCCCGTCCATTGTCCCTTTGATGTGGTGAAGTTGTCCTATCTCCTTAGCAGAAAAACACCCCCAAAGCATAATGTTTCCACCTCCATGTTTGATAGTGGGGATGGTGTTCTTGGAGTCACAGGCAGCATTCCTCCTCCTCCTAACACAGCGAGTTGAGTTGGAAGGGACATTGGAGGTCATCTAGTCCAACCCCCTGCTCAGGCAGGAAACCCTATACCATTTCAGACAAATGGCTGTCCAGTCTCTTCTTTAAAACTTCCAGTGTTGGAGCATTCACAGCTTCTGGAGTCAGGTTGTTCCATTGATTAATTGTTCTAACTTTCACCCAGTTCTCCTCTGAATCATTCAGATATTCATTGGCAAACTTCAGACGGGCATGTATATGTGCTTTCTTGAGCAGGGAGACCTTGTGGGTGCTACAGGATTTCAGTTCTTCACAGCATAGTGTGTTACCAATTGTTTTTTTGGTGACTAGGTCCCAGCTGCCTTGAGATCATTGACAAGATCCTTCCATGTAGTTCTGGGCTGATTCCTCACCGTTCTCATGATCACTGAAACTCCATGAGGTGACATCTTGCATGGAGCCCCAGACCAAGGGAGATTGACAGTTATTTTGTGTTTCTACTATTTGCGAATAATCGTACCAACTGTTGTCATCTTCTCACCAAGCTGCTCCTAATCTGAGCTCGTTACCTGTATAAAAGACACCTGGGAGCCAGAAATCTTGCTGATTGATAGGAGATCAAATACTTATTTCACTCATTAAAATGCAAATCAATTTATAACTTTTTTGAAATGCATTTTTCTGGATTTTTGTTGTTATTCTGTCTCTCACTGTTAAAATAAATTAAAATTAAAATTATAGATTGATTATTTCTTTGTCAGTTGGCAAACATACAAAATCAGCAGGGGATCAAATACTTTTTTCCCTCATTGTAAGTGACCCAAATCAGAAGGCTTAGAAATTGCCCTTCAGGCAAACATCCTTTTGAGGTTCCCCTCTGAGCTCTGCTCTCTTAAATCTAAATGCAAAATGTGGATCGTGGGTGTTACTTCCATGTTATGAATAGTTGAGGAAGAGTACTGACAGAAACCCAGGAGTTATTCTCATGTATCTTACTGCTTATCTTCAGGTTCCTTCTGCCAAAATACTTGAGTGATCATGTTAAATATTGTTTTCCATTATATGTCTCATTCTAATTCCTTTGACTGTTACTATCATCTGTCTTCCATAGCATTAATGGCTCAATACAGACTTATCAGAGAGAAAAGGTTATTGAGCAAAATAACAAATCCCAGAAACAGGAAGATATGGTTAACTATAAAAGAACACAAAAGAAATTTGACTGAAAGTCATACGTAGAAGCATTTAGAAAAGTAAATGCAATGGTGAATGAAAATTCTAACTCAGTTTTTTTATTGCAGTTGAATTAGTTTCAACTGAAATTTAAGTTTGATCTTGGTTTTGTTATACGTTTTCTAGATCGGTGTGGTCTAGAATTACTTAAAAATTGATATTAAGGTAATCATTTGTACAAGCTAGGAAATGGGCTTACGTATTATACAGTCATTTTCAGTTTTTCTTTCCAGAGCTTTCCTATTAGCAATCATCATAAACAAATCATAAAATAAACAAATCAGTGCTAGTAGAACTACACTCTGTAGGCAAAAGTCTACATGGGGAGCTCTGATGTATTTATATTTTTCTTCTACTTAAGACCTTCAGTTAAATTATTTGTGTGTATATAATTAACCACTTTGACATATTCCTGTTTTTGGGATTTGTTTTTCTGCTTTTCATTCCAAAGCAATCAGAACATAGCTCGCAGTGGTATGTAATAATAGCACATTATTATAATAGGCTATTTAACAGGAGAGTAAATCATAAAGTAGCAGATTAGTAGATAGAAACATCAAGAAAAATTATTAAAGGATTTCATCAATTAAAAGCATAGATAATAAGATATATTTTGTATGCTATTATGTTAGTTTCCAAGAAAAAATAGAAGTCCAATATAGCTAAAGTGAAAATGTTGTCTTGATATAAAATAAATTTGCTAGACAATATAGGTCTGTCTCTGGAGTAGCAGTTCCTAGCTGGGAGCTATAAAAGTTTAATTATATGAACAATACATATTAATATGTTTCAAAACTACCTTTCTTTGTGTATCTTACAGTTCTTTATTGTACTAGCAAGGTGATACTTATAATGAAACATTTTGCCTCAAAATGACATATTATTTATAATTTTCTCTGTATAAAAATTCTGTTAAAGCTTTTGAGTACTCAGGGATCTTTTTTTAGAAATGATCTCCTGAATCCTGACAGAACTCTATGGAATAATCCTACACTTCTTGTTCCAACAGTTATTTTAGTTTCTGTAGGACTTCTTCATAGAGTTAGTAAGTCACCTACAGGAAACACTTTTAAATTTTGTAATGTTACAGTGTCTTAGTGTTTACTTATTGTAGTTAAATATCCTCTTAAGAATTAATTTCATTTGAAGAGGACAGAAAAGAACAATATGGCAATCTTAAGACAATGTTGCATCTTGCATTACTCTCATTTGTATTGTTAAAGAAATGACCCTTTTGTTTGATATGTGGATAAGCATATTTACTTTGTACAAATTGAAATCAAACTGTAAACATTTGTTTAAAATAAGTTTCTCAAAGAACTAAATAAAAAGGAACAAAGACTGAAGATCAGCACTTTAAATCCCTGTATTAAATTTAATCCAATTTAACAAGTTTAAAAATAAAGCCCATGTATGTTAACTTTCAAACAACGATACATGTATCTTAAGTTTTCCCACTAGGTTTTCTACATTTAAGAATGAACGCAGGTTATCTTCTTTTCTTTCAGTGTGGTGCTCATCTTGGCCATATATTTGATGATGGGCCACATCCAACTGGAAAACGATATTGCATAAATTCAGCTTCATTAGCTTTTGAGCCTGCAGACAAGAATCATGCTGGAGAAGACAATACTAGTTCTACATCTGCACAACCAGATAAGACAGAGCTGTAATGGGAATCTATTTTTTAAGATTGTTTTCCTAGACGACATGGAAAGAATATTTCTAAATGGTTTTCTATCTTACATACTATTTTTTAAAAAACATACAAAGATGCTCTGCAGTATATAGTTTTTTTCCTGATCAAAATGAGACATGCTAATTCCTTTTCTTATATAACTACACATAACTATTTCACAACTTCTATGCTTTGAAGCAGTCCCATAACAAGGTGTCTTTTGACACTATGATATTGATTACTTACATTTTTCTTATAATAGGTCTGAATTATATTCCTTCATATTTTTCATTCAGTACACAACCATAGCAAGAAAACAGTTTTCTAATGGTACTTAGGCAATTTTGTTTTGATTTACATATATACTCAACTAATTCTCTGTAATTATTGTACCATTCCATAAATGAGGCTGTATAATTTAATATAATCAAGTTTTATAATAATAATAATAATAATAATAATTTAATTTGTACCCCGCCCTTCTCCTCACCGGACTCAGGGCGGCTCACAGCCTTATAAAACCACAATACAATAAATATCTACATTAAAACCAAATTAAAAGAAAATATTTGAAAAGGCCAATCATTTAAAATTACCCTTAAAATTACCCTTAAAAACCCCACTAAAATTCCC